CGTAATGACAATACCATTAGCAGAAAAACACTAAAACAGTACATTCACAGTACAAGTTCTGCTTTAATAAATCCATACTTTTACAATGTGTTGTCCCTGAAGTCAAGAAAACATCAACAGGACTTCAAAGCATAAGTACTGTTCAAAAAATTCATCGAGTTAATAAAAAAATTTAAAAAAAACACGAGGAAGACTAGTTTGTTTTTCAATTAACATTTCTGGTTAATTAAACTCCTTAACAACCACATGATAAACTATGCAGTCATGTAGTGCAGGGCTTTAATGCCCAGGGACAGTCTTACACACAACTGGTGAAACCAGAGTAACAGATGAGCCGTGTGCAACACTCATTGTGTTCCAATCCCTTTAAATAATCATAGCTGAACAATCACATTCAGCCATGGTGATTAGCTAAGAACCCTGAAGGAAGAAAAATAGACCCTAGTTAGGTCTCACTTAAAAGACCCCGGTAGGATCTCTTTGCATGTTCACCTGCTGGCAGTGATTGGGGCTGCGCTGTGCCAGCTGCCCAGCACCGTTTATTGTGTGATTGGCAGAGACAACATGCAGGAGTTGAAGCGTAAATGAGAGAGTTCCTATTCATGCTGAAATCTCACAGTACAGAGCACTCTGTACTGTGTGAGCTGGCTCAATACTGATGTCAACAGAGGGAATCTCTCTAAGGTAGGGTTTAGCATTAGTGTTGGTGTAAGGGATAGGCGAAGGGTTAGGGTTGGTGTAAGGGTTGTGTTAGGATTAGGGGTAGGGTCAGGTTTAGAACCACCATCAATATTTAAAGCTGTTCAGTACAGTACCACGGATAGTGTCACTCTACCAAACCGCATTTCTAATAAGTTTCAAAGTTAGGGCATGTCTGTTATTTTACCCTACATGTCCCTCAAACTCCGGGTATACATGTGGGGTACCATTGTACTTGAGAACAGGTTTAGAATACAACTATAGGGTCTTCACAATAGTGCGACACAAGTGGTCTGAGAGATTCACCATGAAAATGACATAAAACTAGCAGATTTGCCAGAAGTTGGTGATACAATTGTTAAATGAAAAGTGTCAATATGCTTTTAGTTAAAAAGCTTGGAGGATGTACTTTCTAGAAAAACTGATTTTTCTATAGTGGTTTTGAATTCTGTGACTACTAATAATCACGGAATGCCAAATTTTGCAAGGGTTTAGCTTTAAAACTCTAATTCAATCATTGCAATGTTTGTTCTATATATTCCAAAAATGAACTGAAATCCTAGACATATTTAGCATTTTAATAATCAGGAATAATTAGTGAATGTATTTTGAGTTATTTTTCTTTAGATGTACTTGTGCAGAAATTATTAAATGTCAAACTGAATTATTTTAATGTTTTAATATATTATTCATATATAATGTTGTGTTATGCATAACAATGGGGCAAAATAGGCAACCTCCAGCACTCCAGATGTTGTGAACTACATCTTCCCTGATGCCTGACCAGCTCTTTGGCTGTAAGAGCATTATGGTAGATGTAGTCCACAACATCTAAAGTGCCAAAGATTGCTTACCCCTGCCATAGGGTATGAATGGAAAATCTAATTTCTCCTTTAAAATATAATCTATAATATGTATAGGTGCGCTTAAACAGAGGGGTGAAATTGTGATAGAATGAACGCATGGCAAAAGGCCATAGTCACACTTGTGCTGCATTTCAAAAGAGCCTTGGTCCTTCAGTGGTTCACATGATAATTTTTCTTGTTTTTATCATACTTATAAAAAAATATATCTGTAAACAAATCCAGAGACCTTCTGCACAGTACTAGTCTGTCAGTTCCAAATTAGAGAGAGTAAAAAGATTTTTTTCATTTTGGAATCAGATGGGGTACCCAGTGAAAATATTAGAGCTTTTGGAGACATAATAAACACGCTTGGTTTACTATGCTTAATAAATCAGTTTTGTTCCTTCCTTTTGGTTTATCCCAAAGCGATAGCAAATCCAATGAAAGCCACACTATCACCGTCTGGCGGCTTTGCAGAATTTACAAATACCCCTGACGGTGACATCGCAGCTGGTGGTCCGGTGACAGGCCGGTGAAAGTGAGATTTACTTACCTGAATTTGTCCCTCATGGGCGCGGCCATCTTTTTCCGGCTGGTCCTCTGTAGCGCCAGGAGTCAACATCATTGCTGAACTCTCGTAAATGTGCATGACTACAGCGTTAAAGTCTATGGAGGATCCCATGAGATCCTCCATAGACAAAGCCAATTCCCTGCAGCCATCACTGATGACGGCTGTCGGGATTGACAGTATAGCTCCACCCAGAGTCTAAAAAAGTTAGACTAAGGACAAATACAGAGACAACTTAGTCCCTGCTTTGTACCTGTATATCTCTTGAGTGGGTGGAATCTCAGTGAAATTTCAACACAGTCAAAATGAGTATTTCATAAAGATTCTATCTTTATGAAACACATATTTTTCAAGGGGGGTGACAGTTCAAATTTTCATGTAAGTGTGACTCACATTTCTGCATGTATTTATAGGGCTACACAAACACAGTCTGTGTGTGGCATCTCTTTGCGTAGAAATCACGTAATACTTATAGTTAGATACTCTCCAGAATAACATGGAATTAGTGATTGTGTAAATATTTAATGAAAGCTGCAGGGTGTCTCTGGATGGGCTTTAGGATTTGAACAGCAATGAGTGCGAGACAAGTGAATGTGATATGTGTGGAAGGATCATGACCATATTTACTGCTGATGCTATTCTGGGGATCTGCCCAGTGAACTGAGCACTCCCTCCCGTCACCAGTCGCCCCCCTCCTAGATTTCACATTCCTCACTTCTTAACTGTCTCTAACCAGAGCTCTAAGTGTTTATCCTCATTTTACTGAATGCCCTTCCCGTATCCCCTTGCTGTATTAACATACAACCAGACAAATGCAGTTTTCACATTACACAGGAGTAGAACAAATTATAGTTTTATTTTATGTAATAAAATGTTTTTTTTGAATTGACATTATGAGAATAAAATATTTTTTTCAGTCCAGCAAAATCTAACTGGCATGTGCTGTGTATTATCACAGTTACACGCCTACACACGCCATGGTACACTTAGCTTGGCGTTGTAAGTTATTGTGACAAATTGTAACATAGTTTTTGTAAGTGTAGCAGGACAGCCATGTGTCTACACCATGCATTCTTAAATGTTACCGGATACAATACACAGGACCACATTTCTAGAGTAATAACTTTCTACTTTGTGAAACACCTTAATTCCTTTTTTATTCAATATATATATTTGGCTGCGCAATGCTTCCTTTCTTGGCATTCATTTAAGATCCCACACTCCAGACATTCCATCAATTTCTTTAATCATCACTTATTTAATTATCTTCCTCAGAACATAAACTACAAGCTATTCATTACATTTATGGCTGCATATTACTGGCATCAAGGTGATGTTGCCATAGCAAACTTCTAGTATACTGGCCAAGTACATTTCATCCAGACATGACCATTTATGTTACTCTCTGTATCATGCGATACATTTAGTTGTGTGATGTGTGAGGGACCCAGATATTCTCAAAAGCATGCACTCTAATCCACTCCAGCTAGCCATAGAAGTTATACTTTGAAATACCTTTGGGAAAGGGAAATAGGCACACAAAACTACATGCCTGGAAACACCCATCCTGTTAAATCATTAGCCCCCCTCTTTAATTCAAGGTTGCTTGCAACAGAACACTTCCATCATGCCACTTCCTGATCTCATATGAAGCCAAGTCCACGGGCAGATCACATAATAAAGGGATTCTCCAGTGACAGGAAAACAAACCCGTTTTCCTGGCACTAGAGGATCCTGGAGTGCCCCCCAGCGCTGGGTCAGGCTCTGCCCATGCTCCTCCCCCGCCGACGGGGGAGCCCTAATGCACATGCGCGGCAATGGCCGTGCGCGCATTACACCTCCCCATAGAAAAGCATTATTCAATGTTTCCTATGGGAGGTCTTCATGCATATCGTGAGGATGTCCAGCGTCGTTTAGATGACCAAAAGTTGTCTAAGAAGCCGGAAGTCCCTCTTCTGGCTGTCTGGTAGACAGCCACTAGAGGAGGACTTAACCCTGCAAGGTAAATATTGCCGTTTATAAAAACTGCAATCATTACACTTGCAGGGTTAAGGGTAATGATGGGAGTTGGCACCCAGACCACTTTAATGAGCTGAAGTGGTTTGGGTGCCTACAGTGTCCCATTAAAATCATATACTGCCTGAGGTAAGTGTGAGTTACACTCCTGAGCAGCAGCTATTAAATAAGTCCCTCTCATAAAACTGATATGTTGAAAGGAACAAGAGAGAAAGGTGAGATTCTTTTACTCTAACTTCTGTTCCCGACATATCAGTGAAGGCTGAGTTAAAGACAGCTGCCACAAATAGAATCTGTTGCCCAGGAGTGTATCTTTCCCCAGTCTCAGGCAGACTGTCATACAGTATGTATTGTATGTTCCAGTGCTAACCAGACGATTAAAACAGCTCTAACTGTATTTTTTTTTATTGAATGATATAAAATATACACTGGCATTCAAAAGTTTGGGGTCAATCAGAAATGTCCTTATTCAACTTTAAAATATACATGAAATGTGTTTGAAGAGGAAGTCATTGATAACGTTTGAAATAATGAATTTTGAGTGAAATAATAATTGTGTCCTTCCAACTTTGCTTTTTTTTTTTTCTTTTTTTTTAAAGAATCCTTCATATGCAGTAATTACAGCCTTGCATACCTTTGGCATTCTAGTTGTCAATTTGCTGAGGTAATCTGAAGAAATTTCACCCCATGACTCCTGAAGCACATCCCACAACACCTCAATAGGGTTGAAATTTGGTGACATAGCAAAGTATTTAACAAGGAAAGGTACATTCAAATTACTCTGGTTTCCAAGTACGTCCTGGGGATGTTACAGTTACCCAACATCCAGGTACTCATTTTATCTACCTCAGAAGGATGAGTCAACCCTGCCAGGAAATGACCCTGCGACTCTAAGGGTTGAACAGATTCTACTGATGATGCATTAGCCCACTGAGCTATCACACCGACAGACAGAATACCAGATGATTGCTTCTTCCCTAAATAGTTGAAGGAGGAAATTGGCTCCAATCAAGCGCTGTGCATAGCCTTCCTTCTTTGATGTCCCTTTTAGCCACTATAAATCTCCAACTTTATCACCACCAAAGCACCTTCAGACCATTACATTGCCTCAACCAGATGGCATGAAGCACTCCTCCAGCATCATTTCATTTGGACTGTGTCTTACTAGAAGTTCTTCTTTGTGATCTGTCCAGAACACTTTTTCCAATATTCCTCTGTCCACTGTCTGTGTTATTTTGCCATATTAAGCCTTGATTTAATCTTCCCAAATTATTTTATACTTTTTGAAAAAAAAAAAAATTAATTATCTACAGAAGTTACCATTAAAGCCTATGGAAATGTTTGTAGATAAATCATTTGCAATGTTTTTCTAATAGTATTGAATCATTTTGAAAGATTATTAAATCTTTCTAAGTGATCCCCAACTTTTGAACACTAGTGTTTCTCTGACACATGTATTAGGAGAAAATAGTGGCATATTTTGGGATCTAGAGACATTTTTAAAGCCATCTTATTGTTTAGTCTAGAATATATAATTGATTAATTGTGATGTCTCCACTCAGAACCGTGGAATTAATAATTTCTGCAGCAAAATATACTGTTGGTTAGATCTTGTAAAGAAAAGACATATGAATTAGACTAAAAATCTCTGAAAAAGAGCATAACCTGCTAAATACTGAGTGAATTATTTTATAGGAACACTATAGCATTAGGAATACAAAGTTTTATTCATAATGCTGTAGTGTTCTCCTAACTATTTAGTTATCTGGCGCCATTTAAGTGTTTAACCCCTTAAGGACCAAACTTCTTGAATAAAAGGGAATCGTGACATGTCACACGTCATGTGTCCTTAAGGGGTTAAAAAAGAGACTTTACAACCTGCAGTGCGTTGGGCTCGCCGTTGCCGTCCCGTCTCCTCTGCTGAGATCATCAGTCTTAATGATATCAGCTAATCCAATGCTTCCCCATATTGGAACATTGTGAGGCCAGTGTGCATGTGCGGCAAAAGGCTATGTTGCACCAATCAATTGCTCTTGAATTAAAGATTATGTTAGCTTTAGTGTACTAATAATCTTAATTTTAATAATGGCAGGAGGTGAGTATTTTCCACAATCTTTCTTTACTAACTCCATAGCAGCAAAGAAAAGTAATAAGAAAACTGAGAACCAATCACAAGCAAGCATAAATTATAAGAGGCAATCACTGCAGCGATTCCTCTTTAAAACTGCGACATCATAAGTTCATTAAACAACGAAACAGTAGAAGAACATGATGTGATAAACTTTAAACACGAACATGATGAATAAGGTCCCATCAAAGAGATGTCTTGGGTTCAACTGTATATCCCAATTAAACGGAAAAGAGAATATAAAGAGTTTTAGTCTCCAGAAAGGGTTGTATAAAAACTTATAACCTTACTGTCTATGGTAAGTATAATACATATATTACAATCCAGTCTTCCCCCAACTACTGTAACTAACTAAAACAAACAACTCCCGTGCAAAGCCAGCGACAAAGTCCCAAGGGCAAAAAACAACATTAGTGTAGGCAATATATAGTATGGACATATCATAAAGGTGCACCATAAGCAAAGGTATTCAGAAAAGGGAGAATAGTAAAAGAAAGGAAAGGGGAGAAAATACTCGCCTCCTGTCATTATTAAAATTAAGATTATTAGTACACTAAAGCGAACATAATCTTCAATTTTACCACATGACAGGAGTCTTCATATTTTGCAGTTTTAACGCTGAGATAAAAGAGCAAAAGCTGGGTTTGACAGAGGTCGGAAATAGAACGTCTGAAAAGTAGATTCTCTCATCCAATCCGCAGCCCGTAGAATGTCGGGAAGTGAGGCCCTCGCCGAAAAGGCAGATGAGGCTGCAGCCCCTCGCACGGAGTGTGCTCCAAAGGCCTGATCAATCCCAGCCAAAGAAAGCAGCCAACAAACCCATCTGGCCAATGTAGTGACGAGAAGTTGACGGGAAGAAGGAGACCACAACGTCGCGGTAGCTTCCAAATAGCAACGTAGAGTTGAGACCACACAAAGTTGTAGATCTGAAGGGAAAAAGGGATAGAAAACTGAAGAAGAGTTAGATTTGGTACGGCGTGAGACCTGAAAGATAACCCCCTCCAGGCAAAAGGTAAATGCGACCCGTCGAAAGGAGACCAAGCAGAGGAGAAAGGTGAATTTGGCCGTAAGCTGGCAAAGGGACAACTTATCGTTTGGAGGCCAATCTCGCAAAAATTGCAAGACGATACCGACATCCCAAAGTCATGTATATTTGGGTTCTGGAGGGCGGCAAAGTCTGCAAATGAGGGGATCTTGTCCAACTAAGATCCCTTGGAGTGGAATGTGAGCCGCTGAAATGGCTGACCGTACCACGTTAATGGACCGATACGATTTCCCAGTTGTAAACAGAGAGGAGAGAAAATTTAGGATAGAGGGAACAGGCGCCGTAAAAGGATTGAGGATTGCCACGCAGATAACATCTCCTATTTCCTGGTTCCCAAGAGTCCCGTAGGAGGTCCTTAGCTTCCTGCGATAAGTTTCCGACGCGCCAGGAACCCCGGAAAATGTTCAGGCCACCAGGAGAAGGTGACCTTCCATGACTAGAGGACTAAAGCGCCCTTGAAATCCAGACGGGTAAACCAGTCGTTGTCTCAAAGCAGATCCCGGAGAAGGTGGATGCCCTTCATTTTTAAATGTCTGTATACTACGTGGATGTTCAGATCCCTGAGGTTGATTAACTGGGCGAAATTTTCCAGTCTTCTTCCCGACCAGGAAAATGTTGCTGAAGAATCCGGTCGAATCCGGGGCCGGTTGAATGGCGCCCTTGGCACGCAGTTCCTGTAGTTTTGAATCTATTTGGCGAGCGTCCACTTGTGTTATGTGGAGCGGGCACGGTGGAACTCGTTGGACCGTAGCCTCGTACGGTTTGTAGGATTCATGGGTCCGTGGAGACGTCTGCCCAGTTCTCGGGTGTCACATGCACACTCACCCACCGTATCTGGGGTAAAGCTGTCTGCTTCCTCATAGGCATCATCTGCCAGGTCCATCACCCTTGCCAGAGGTCAAATGGAGTCAAGGAGTTTATCCTGAGCCCCCTTGAATCCGCGCTCCACCACTTTGGGTGGATCCCGACCCACAAAGGGCATGAAGGTCAGCATGAGCTGATCGAAGTTGGGTGTATGAGCCACCTTGTTTGGTATAATGGGGTGAGGGCACTCAGACCTCATGTGTTCCGCACCTCCTTATCTAGGTGTTTTCGGAGCCAGAAGTGCATTAACTTTGCAAGGTGTTTAGAGGGGTCCATTCCTTGGACCTGGTCCCACCGATATCCCTGAGAGGGAGTGCAGAAATAGGATCTGTGCAGCATAATGCCGGACAGGAAACAGCTGAATGAAGTTCTGTAGTCAAAAGCGCGGGAAACCAAGCACCTCCCCGGTGTTCTGTTCCAGAAGTGGTCAGGTTCGTGGGAAAACCCGCCAAACAGGGTAAAGGACCCGAGCAAAGCAGAGGGAAGGGGGGCCTGCAGCGCAAGGGCACCAAACCGAGACCCGCAATAGACAGGGTTCCCCACACAAGCGGGCAGGCAAAGGGGGTCAGCAGGAGAGCCCCAAATATCTTGTGATGGAGCCTCAAAGAAAGAGGAATCCCTGCAGTGAGACATGCCTCTTATAACCTATGCTTGTTTGTGATTGGTTCTCAGTTTTCTCATTACTTTTCTTTGCTGCTATGGAGTTAGTAAAGAAAGATTATGCAAAATATGAAGCCTCCTGTCATGTGGTAAAATTCACATTTGTGGTTATTAAACGTTTTTATATTATATATATATATATTTTATTTTTACTCACATTCTAATTGCAGCAAATTATTTCGTTTTAACAAAGTGAATTCTAATATGGTTAGGTTGAAAAAGGTGTGTGTAAAGCCTTTCAGTTTGGATTAATTGGTTTTATTTTTTGGTTTCTTACAGCAATCATATTTATATTACTTTGTGACTACACTTTTTAAAGGTCACCTTAATGCAGGTGAAAGATGGATGGATAGAGATAAAAAAGATGGATAGATAGACATATGATTGCAGAGCACATAAAATATATATATATTTAAGAAATAGCTGCTGGGAGCATGTGATTTGTGCAACAAATTAAAGCTTGATATTCCAATCAGTCATAAAACTCCCACACTGCTGTTGAGTAATTATGATATAGATGTTTGACCCACATGAACATTCTCTATGCCATCTATATCATGAAGAAGACCAGATTACCTAAATTTAATACATAAAATAATTCCTAAAGTATTAAAAAAACAAGCACTCCATTTAGAGACTTTTTAAAATACTAGGTAATAATGCAAAAAATATTGTGCCAACAGAGACACTTTAAGCATCAGGAAACTTTGTCCTACAAACTGGATAACATCTGTACAAGTTACACCGTGTGCCCAGAATAACTGTGCCATTACGGTAAAGTGGGCTGCTTAGTAACAGAAGTTAAAATTTGGAAGTTAGACTGATCACGAATGCAAAACTATTTGTGTTTGTGTGGGTGTACTGAATATGTGAAAGTGTGGACCTAATTGCAAAGATTGGTTTATGTCAACAGTTATGCCATATCTCGGTGTCTATTCCTAGCTATTTTCACCACTTTATTTTGCAGCATCACATTTTGTTCTGATGTATATTTATTATATTAATGTATTTTTTTCTCCTTATTTTTCACTTCTGTTTTCTTCAGTTTAGTGAAGCTTATTTCCGCACGTTCCAGTGATCTATATATGCCCCAGATTTTTCATATCTGTTTAGTCCTTAGAACCCTCTTAACACCAATTATACCACTAGTCATTTTTGCCCAGTTCCTACATACCGTAGATAATATGTAAATACCTACCTCTGCTGCATTTCTGCATTATGGGAGACTATGCCACCCCATGGAAGCACTCATACGTGCATGGACATCAAGGGAGAAATTCCAATGAGCGCATGCACGGCCAACATTCTCTCCAGCAGTGCCATAGCTATACAAGCACAACCATGTGGCACTCTAAGTATTAACTTTAAGTTGAATTAATTCCCAGTGTTGACCAGCATGTAAATTAAGATAAATAAAACTATACATTTTTTGCCTGTTTTTTGCTTGTGCGAAAATCAGGGAAGTGACAGTTTCTCTTTATAGGAACACTCCAAACACATAAAGCATT